TCGGACCATAGGGTCCAAAGCACGCCGGTGACAGCGACTAAAATGATTATGGAAACGGTTCCGTCCTCGTGCGAGGACAGTGGTATCGATTTTCTCTCAGATTGCAGACTGCTGTATCTGGGTTGAACTGGAATGAACATGTGAGCGCATAAAAAATAACAAATTAATATGAATAATCAGACCGTGTTCACGAGAAACGCATACGCGATAATTTATCAAAACGATCGCTCTAGTGGAACACATGTGATAATCGAGAGCAAAGTTTCAATTTCAGCTCTTACAACCACCAACGTCCTGGTCTCCAGGACTTACTCCTTACTTTTCTCCATGCACCATTTTTCCTCAACAACAAAGCGCGCAGGGGCAACCTACTTGATAAAATACGGAACGTGTCACAACCAATGCAGTCAATGAAGAACAAAATGATGCATTCGAAAAAAATTGGACGTTGTGCAAGGAAACAAACATCCCAGACCGTTTGAAGCTCTGTAATCGAATGATGGGTGTGTAGTTACAATTAGAAAAATTGGAGCCTAACGAAATGCTCACCGTTTCACAGCGCGGGATCCAGGGAGCCGGTGGTGCGGTCACCACACTTCCGTACGAAGTTGTGATGCTGTGTGAAATAAAACGGAGGAAGTGGGAATGAGGGGATGCAAAATCGAACCGCGGCAATTAAAATGAAGGATAATAGGCGTAAATGGAAGAAAGGTCAGTGGGGCAACAAAACTAAGCTGACACGAAGTCGACGAACAGCTGACGGTAATTTATAAATTTCATATTTGAATAAACAGGTAAGTTTATAGAGACATCAATAGCCTGACAGTCCGAAAAATTATTTTGAGTGTCAGGGACAGTTGGCTCTGGGAGATCATTATAGCGCTCATTCGGAGTAACCAATAAGTAATCACTACGCCTGTGTTCAGTTGAGTTTGCACAACCGTTATTATCTTCAACTGCATTGGTTCTACTCTACCTCAGATCCATGTTTAACTATAATTTCCTCAGTTTCTGTTTGTACAACCGTTAACCATGCATTATCGTGCACCGGTTTCGGTTGCTATCTTTCGGCTGCCCATTTGGATGAACACTAGGAGAAAGACAGGAAACATTGAAAGTAGGATCGAAGAGAAAATTGAAAAGTTTACGACACCCAGCCGTGTAATATAATATAATTTCCTAGAACGCCTCACTAAAGTAATGCCGATGCGCACAGTGGTAATGAAATTGATGTCTAAGTACATCTATGCGCAGTGACTTAAATTTCGAGGCAAAGCAATAATCGCTGCAAATTACTTTTAGTCTATTCAACAACATGTCTAGTGTATTGGGGCCACACACACAACACGTCCAACAGGCCATGTCGCTGATTGCCATTAAATAATAAATCCCAGTAACCATATAGTTTACATTTCTTGTTTATGATACAAAGATTTGAAATAGATAGGGATAAAAGCGACGGACCGCATGAGGTGATAATAAACCTGACAACTGTGAAGCTGGTAACAAACAAAAACGGCTGCATATCCCTGCACTCGGATAGAGCAACCTTCAACAATAGTAGTAAGGACCTACCGCGATAAACGCAATCGTGTTTTAACCTAAATCAGCATTCTTCTAGAAGCTGCATACCACGAATATCCGCTTTAGTGATGCATTTACAATGCGCAAAGGAAAGACAGCAAACACGGTTGTGATTGGTAATATGAACTGATGAACAAAGTCGATCAATGAAACCATAAAACAGAAACAGCAGGACCCCAATCATCCTAGCGAAGTGACTGATGTAAATCACCTTGAAATATACGGGATTTCGGAATCGCACGCTAAACTCACATTGATCCAGAAGGAGCGGGAGCAAGCGCACATGTAGAACCGGCGACTGCCTGTGATTCCAGACTAGACTGTCGCGAATGAGACTGATAACCAGATGAGCGACTATCTAAACCACTGGATCGATAACTTGTCAAAGACAGGCCGGTCTGGCGTTCGGTCGATCCAATGTTTGGATTATCGGCAGCCTCGCCAGGTTCGATTAGATCTCTATCAGACGATGACAAATCCCGCGGGCCACGTGTTGGACGAAGCACGCACATCTGAGATGGAGGGAATGCAAAATCCGCGACAGGGCGAGACTTACGGCGTCGAGATGGAAGCAAAAGACCAGTGTCAGTGGCAAAATAGTCTGAGGGTTTGTGTCGCAAGGGATCAGTCACCACGGAAGTTTTGGTTTGGAACAGGGGATCACAGCGACGCCTACCGGCGGAATAGTGAGGGGGTAACGGGAGAGAACGACAGGCGCAATCATCATCCTGGAACCTGGTTTGATCATATAAACTTTCTGAAACGGGTTCCAATGAGGTAGGAGGGTCAAGGGTGAGATCGACGCTAGGATTCAAAGGGATATGCTTTCGTTCAGGATGGAAATGCGAGATGGCATGCGCTACTGGACTTCCAGTAGCCGTTGACCCGGGTGTGGAGGAAAATGATGTGGGTGTAACGGAGCTACTTGACGAACGATTGGTGACCAAAACGGCATCAGTAGAACCTATTCGATTCCCGACGTTGTCCACAGTGGTACAGGAACCGGAGGCAGTATGACCAATATCTAAAGATAAAAACAGGGGAAGCATTTAGCGGAGATTCGAAAATCTTTTACATTTTCAAAGTAGATAGAATTGCCATATATGAATGACAACAGGAGCAGAGCACTAACAAAACGAAGACGAGTGAACAGATCAAAATGCCCAGATAAGCTGCCTGCGTATGCACACGGTTAGTTTCATCAGTTATGCGACCGGCTTATAACTTTAGTGCTACCGCGAATCACCCTATTCGCTCTTTCGGACCCTGTGTTCAAAAATACTATTTTCTGTTATTTGGTTTCACTTCACGCTCTTCATACACAATAATAACAACAAGAACAGGCAAAGCACGCGACAAATTGCACAATACATTTACCTACGTGTTGTTTTGGCTCCCAGAGGTGGCATCCTAATGTACAACCGAGTATAGGGATTTTCAATTTCAGTTTTCACAACCATTAACCATGCATTTTTACGTGCGGGTTTTGGTTACTGTCTTTTGGCTGCCCATTTGGATGAAAGAGCACAATTAAGGTCAGGATATTGAGAGCAGAGTAAAAGGGGGTAGAGAATTAATATGGACCGAGGTTGCAATGATGAGTAGGTGCACGAACGCCACTGTTTGCGACATTCAGCAATTTTACTCAGTTTTTAAGCACCGGTTGCCGGGATCTCGGAGTCCCCATCCAGAGGGTCTATCGGGACCTATGTGACCCAATCCCATGGTTAAGGTTTTCATACCCATATGACAGGTCATTTTTTGACCTTCTTTAACTTTTTTCTATCCGATGCCGACCTCAGAAAACAACACGCCCGTGGAAACCCATTTGGTGGCATGCATAACATGTTCCACACAGCGTAATCTGTGGATGTTGACCACTTGCTCCAATGTACGACCGCGGATAACTAAAACCCTGCGCCTAACCTCATCACTGCATGCTTGGGTTCCCCACCAAATTCGTGCAATGTTGCGCAGACAGCGATGTTCGAACACTTACAATCTATCTTCATCCTGTTCACGTAATTGACAAGTTTTTGCGTTGTATAGCAGAACTTGCCCACCTACCGCAGCATACATTCGAACCTTCACGGACAGCTAGACGTCGCGCCAGCGTAACACATGTCCCAGGTTGGTAAATGCTAACCAAGCCTCCTGTATGCGAGCTGACACTTCATCCGGGATACGTCCACCGGGCGAAATACAGCAACCCAGATAAAACTTTTTCACTTGCCTTATTACTTCCTTGGTAAGAGTGACGCCGGGTGCTGGAAAAACGCAGTCTTGTAGCAACATTCCACACTTTACAAGTGCAAAACGCATACCGGACATGGCTAAACTAGCACTCAAACTATCCAGGAAAGCTTCAAACTTACATGAATCTTCACTTAGCAGCACAATCTCACACGAATATTGTACATCAGCCTGCGATCTGCGAGTAGACCGTTGCCGTCTCCATAATCAAAGTTAAAACGAGATTATGTAGAAAAAGATATAGAGGGCAACCATGGTGAACACCACCTTCCGTGGCGAACTCGGGCGAAAAGGTGCTGTAAACTCGGACTCGGCTCCGGCTATTAGTAAAAGGGATCACAATATATAAATAAACATCTCGGACGTACTCTTCCGGGAAAG